TAAACAAAAGTGACAGGGGTGTTTACTAGAGGCCAGAAAATTTTTAGTGTGTCTACATTTAAGTCTCAGAGATGAACATTACTGGAAAAAGAAGAGCGGTGTAGTCGTATCCTTGTTGGCTGTCACTGTCGCACCGTTTCAGAATCAAAATCTTTATTACCAAATACGTTTAAAACACAAGGAATTTGACTTGTATTCAGCAGCCCCCAACATGCTTCTGTAAGTCAACCAGAAAGATGTGAATAAAAAAAAAAAAAAATAAATCTAAGATATTGAAATTAAGTGTGAAGATGGGTGCTAGCTGATTAGCACTGGGCCTGGTGCCTGTCTGATCTTCTGGTTTTTTTAAAAGGCCACGCACATCCTTTTATAATAATAATAATAATAAAATTTATTTATAAAGCACCTACCAGCTCAAAGAGCACTAGGTGCTACATCAGGAAAAAAAAACAAAAAAAAAAAACACAGATCTTCAGGGGTGGGGGGAAGGGTGGTGCTCATGGGTGAGTAACTGCTTAACAGTCCTATAGTAAAAACACATTCAGGTCATCTACCAGTTGATGGTTTTCCACAGCAGAGGATGGTTTCCTGTAGCCAGTGAACTGGTGTTTCAGCTTTTCAGAGCAGCTACTCTGATCTCTCTTGTCATTGTGTTCCTGGCCTGGCTGTACAGGGTCCTGTCCCCTCTTCTGTAGGCCTCCTCTTTGGTACAACAGAGCTGCTTGAGTTTTACTGTGATCCAGGGCTCGTTGCTGTTGTATGTGCAGCAGGTCTTGGTGGACACACACATGTCCCCACAAAAGCTGATACAAGATGTCACAGCGTCAGTGAATTCATTCAGGTCTGTAGTTGCAGCCTCTCATACACTCCAGTCTGTGCAGTCAAAGCAGGCCTGTTGCTCTGACTTTGTCTACTCAGTCAGTCTCCTCACTGTTTTGATCACAGGCTTCACAGCTTTAGGTTTCTGCCTATATGTTGGGATCAGATGGACTGTACAGTGATCAGACAGACTGAGGGCTGCAGGGGGGACAGAGCGATGGGTGTCTTTTATTACTGTGTAGCAGTGGTCCAGTGTGATTTTGTCCCTGGTAGGACAACTGATGTGCAGCCAGGTGCTGTAGTGTGCTAGTGTGCATTCAGTATGAGCAGTGTCCTAAAACTAGGTTTGACACAGGGCCCCTCTACAAGACAAGACAATTTCGAATCATAGTTGCAATTGTGCCTGTGTGTTCATGTTTGGCCATCAACTGTTCTGTGGGGTGTCTGCCCTCATAGAACAAAAGCCGCTGCGCGTGTTCTGCCCAGTAGGTGGGACCTGAAGCTCAGAGGATGGAGTCTTTCTCTCTCTCTCTGCCTCCCTGTCACTTTCTGTGTCTCTCCCCCATTCCCACCACCTGGTACCAGCAACAGCGCTAAAGAGAGAGGAGAGCAAGAGGGAGAGGGGGGATGGAGATGGAGGGATGACATAAAATGATGCAGAGAGAGAAGGAGGAGAGAAAGAGCGCCAGCCTGCTCAGACCCCTTCGTGCCACATTGCCCACATGGAATATTTCCGATTTCTCTTCTTTTTTTCTGCCCGTGGTGTTTTTTAATCGAGCACGAGAGACGTGACTGGCATCATCAAAATCTCTGACATACCCAGACACACAAACTCACGCACATGGATACGTACGGACATGAATGGAGATATGTTTTGTTTTAATATTTTTTTACTCTGTTGAGGGAAATAAGGAGACCGCAGCGGTCAAGCATTCATACGCCCACGTAGGCGCGGAGCCGAGTTGGACCAAGAGGATCTGAGCCGTTTTTTATTGCTGCTGCGCTGCAAAGTTGCGAAGAAATCTGGGGACTTGAATCGTGACAACATGGATGGATTTGATGCGTTATTTGCCGCATTCGGAGTCCGTCGGTCTCCCAGGATGTTGTGCTGCTGGAAGGTTTATTTTGTGCTGAGCATCTTCTTTCACAACTACCTGAGCTCTTTGCTGGACTGTCCGCCCACCTGCACCTGCTCGCCCACTGAGATCTACTGCAATAAGTCTGACAACAGCAAATTCTTCCCACTGCTCTCGTTCCAGGGCACCGGGAGCGCCGGGAACAATACCGGGAGCATCGAGGACCTTTTCCAGAACATCACCTCCATGTAAGTGCGGCCGTTGCTGCAGCTGAATGCTGGAACAAACGCCCTACAGTTGGGTGTTTAATTAGAGCTGTTTGTGGAAATACATTTCAGCCAAGGTTACAGTGATTTTTGTTGCAGAATTGTTTTCTTATTAGGTTTGGCGAGAAGCATAATCTATCTTACCTGTAGAACAGAAAATACTTCATGAGATATATGTACACCCACTGAGTGGGCTAGTATCAAAATGATGTCAGTCATAAGAAAAAGGAATTTGGTAAAAGGAATGGATTCATGCGTCTGCTTTGCTTGTGTGGGGGCGGGGGGATTCAAAAAAGTAAACTTTATATCATCACATTATACTATAGGTGCAAAAAGAGGTGGGGGCAACCAGGGCCTTAACTGTGAATTATTTTAAACCATAGTTGTGTAAAAAAAACCGTACCCAGCATATTATAAATTAATTTAGCCCTTGAAAAACACCACACAATTTGTGATGAGATGGGCCATGATAATCTTTTTACTATAAATAAACATACTGTATTTTTATACACCTACGCACACCTACACACTGCATGTCTTGTACTACATGACACTTGGGGTGATAGGTAACCATCCCTCCATAAGAAGTTTTAACATGCCCTAATTTTGTCTTAATCTGATCTTAATCTACGCACACAGATTACTGCAGGGCTTCTCTAACTGAGCCCGCGAGTCATTTTTTTATGAGTTGCTCACTTTCTGTAAGCTTCATTTTCATGTTTAAGAAGTGAACATTTAATGAGACAGACTGTTCACATCACCAGGGCCCTGGCCGTCATATATGCTGTGATACTGTGACATGCTATGAATTCAGATGCCTAGAAATGCCGCATAAAAGTGGTTTAATTAACCTGTGGAGGATTTACCTTTCTCAACATTCCTGTAAGAAATAAGCAAAGGAAGAGACTTTACGATGCCCACTTTTTAAGCACAGCAGAAAAAGCACTTCCTGAGTGTGTCCCTTTAATATTATTGTTTATTGTCCTTGTCACATGCTGTATATCACCCTAAATTCCTTCAAAAGCAGAGCACGAGAGGTAATAAGCCCACGTATCGTCTATTATAAAATCCGTCATGACTCAGTTGCTCAAAAGCACAAATCAAAATGTCAAAGCAGTAATGTATCATAAGGTTTGATGGGATTTTTTTTTGTGTTTTGGTTAGAAGTGAGGAACATATTTTGTGTCAAGATAGCTCTATGACAAAACCAAAGGCTCTAGTGTAAGATGGTCCATCTCATGTCAGCTCTCCTTGGGTGTGTGTTGCCTTGCGTATGATCATCTTCATGTTTCCCGACACGGTCACCTGCTTGTAAAGTGCTCAGCATTTACGATCAGATGTGTCAAAGCTGAATAGCACTGAATAATGCATTTGCTGTATATGGTTGATATATGTAACACATGACTACAACAACACACCGGCTCAATAATATGCATCCCTAGTTTGACAAAGTTTCCACTGCAAGCATAAAAAAAAGACCATAAATCAGTTTCAAGGAAACTTTGAGGATAAGTTCAGTTTGCAAGATGTCCAAACAGTTGAATTTTATTTCACCTTTGGGCCTCTTCTTGTGATTGCAGTTTTCCCTCTACACTAGTCAGGTTTTTAAATTGGATTAGAAAAGACATATTGATCTTAACAGAAGAATTTGCAATCCTGTTGAAGGCTGTGATTTTATTATCTTGTGCTTCTTAATGCACAGTGTGTGTATCTAGCTAAAGTTAACAGAACTGGCGCTGGTGTTGTTTCTTTCAAAAGAACTATAGAGTTGTTTTATCTGATAGAAAGTGTTGCCTCAAGGTCAAACCATTCCCATTATTCTAGTCATCAGAGCCACTCTCCAACATAACATTAAGCCAGGCAGTGATATGGAGCACTGACGGGCACAGCCGTCAGTCTGATGAGAGGATGCACGACTGTACTGTCACACTTTTGTTTACTCACTGACAATTAACATTAGCTGCATTTTCATGTGCATTAAAACTAACTACTCTCTCAGTATTTTAATATATAGTGTCTGGGGTTTAGTTTAAGAATTGTAAAAAAACTCCAGAGTCCTTGATTTGTGTTAAAATGCCTTCTAAATTTCAACTGAAGCTAACCTGAGGTTTAAGCAGTCTCAGTTGGACTAAACAGGAAGACTTCATCTTCATTGCTGTGTTTAGGATTATTGCCAGTGTTTTGTCTACTCGGAAGTTTCCCTCCACCACAGCTCAGTAAACAAGTAATCAGGAAATTTCAGACTAACTGTAAGTGGATGCCTCTTTGTTAGCTTCAGCTACCGCAAATGTTATATTGCATTTTTTCATCCAAAATATACATATGAATGATTGATGTTCACCTACCAACAGCGGCACTGAATACCTAGGACCCTATTATTCTTTTACTTTTGACGAATTTGGAAGCAGTACAAGTTTAAGGTTATCACTAACATCGCTGGACTGTAAACATGCTGATGAAGATGAGTATTCTGGCAGCACATTTCCAGCAGCATGAGCTAATGGGATGTGCTGTAGTGTACAGCTTTACTGGACCTCAGTTCACTTCACTGTGCTTTGGTGGCATGAATGTAGAAAACAATGTTGACAGGATAAAAGATCAACATTTTTTTTTACATGAATTTCCTTTCCCCACCTTGTAGTAGTGTGTGTGTATGAATGTTTGTCTGTGTCTTTCTGCTCGGAGAGATTTTGCAACATTTCACTCAACACTCAGAACTATAGTCCATCAGATCCTGGTTGGAAAGAAGTGGAACTGACTGCCACTGCAGCCCCATGCTCTCTGCTCCAAACTGTCTTATTAAGCCAGCAAGATACTGCGCATGCACATGCGTGCACACACACACACACACACACACACACACACACACACGCCCTCTGCTTGGCAGTTTTCCATCTCCCACTGCATTCTGCATTTCACTGACACCAGAGGACTGAGTGTGGGTGCTTTAGATGTGAGCTGTCACTGCTTCTTTGAAAAGCAAAATCCTCTCTGCATCTCAGTCTGAGCCTTGTTCAAATCGTTTTTCTTACTCTGTGTGAATACAGCCTTGTTGCTGGTCACAGTGAAATGAACCCAAAATTCATTCTTCCACACGCTGGCTTATATGGGAGGGGGGACCCAGGATTTGCAGGACTTGTGCATATAGGAAAATGCTCACAACCTAAAGTGACACAGTAAAAAACTTGACATGGTATCAGTGTTTCTGATTTGGAACCTCTCATTCATTTGTTTTAGCCTGTTAACTATACATCACGTGTGCTTTACAGAACTGCTTCAAATTAATTCAATGATTAATTCATTATCAAGCTTATTATCCATTATTATCCATAAGTGCTGACCAATTTCCAAAAGTTGTAACAGCATTTTAGGAAAACAAAGAAATAAATGAAAACAGCCCCCCCCAAAAAAAACACACAACAACAAATGTGTAGATACATGAAACTGGCCTGACAGTGATAATACATTACTTTACATTTGCTTTGTCATCAAACTCACTGAACCTTATTTATGAACGGTAATGAGTGCTGAAGCAATGAATTAGTTGATTGAGAGAAAACAAAGCTTGATAATGGATTAATCATTTAATCCATTTGCAGAAATGACAGCCACTCGCTGGTACCTCTGTTGTCTGTTTTATGTCACTCTATACTGAATATCTGAGTTTTGGACAGTTGCCAAAAAACAACAAGTACTTTATAGATGACATGACCTTAGACATGTTAAAGGCTTCACCTCACTTTGTGTTTTAGCTGAAACAACCTTTTAATTAAACAGAAAATCAATTATTGAATATATAATGAAATTGCTGCAGCTGTACAGAAAAAAAATCTAAGGGTTTACACCAGAAGACTGTTACTGTACATGCATAGGTAAAAAATACTACTGACTAATATGTTGTTACCAGATTTTAAAAAGATATTCATGTTGGTATTAGTAATAGCCTCAGAAATTCAGTATCAGTTGAACTATATTAATGAAGTACTCATAAAAACAGATAATATACCTTGTAGTGTACAATAAACAGTGCAGGCAGATGAGATGAGGACTGTGATAGATTAGCTTTGTAAAGCAAGAGTCAGGCTTTATTGGAAAGTGAGTTGCAGGACATGAAGGAACTATTCCAGCACTTGAAAAGATTTGTTAAGGAACAGGGGCTGCATGGTATCCAGTCTTTAGAGTAGACATTTCTGTTATAAAAGTTGAGGTAATGTCGACTACATGCTGATCATGTCATCAAAAAATAAGCACACAAGACATGGCGAGCAGTTGCATCATCAAATCAGCTGTTTCACCAGCTCCCACTATGATGCTCTCCTGGCTAGTGAATTTTGGACACTTGGTTCAGTGGACAGCTTCATCAGTGAGGACAGAGCGCAAAGCTAACTGTCACTCGGTTCCACCAAACCTGGCGGTAGGTTTGGAGTCAATTAGACTTTACACAGCTGTTTGGTTGACTAATCCGTGCAACTCCTAGTAAGCAAGGAGCCATTATATGATGTTATACAGTATCCTTTTGTTAGTCTGTTGTGAAATCAGGCCTTTGCACAAATCAGGTACAGGAGACTCTATGAGGACTTCTGCCCTGCTGTGTTCTTTGAGCTGACAGTTCTCTGACGTGCTTCAAGTGTTTTGGACAGTAAAAATTGAGGCTATCTGCTACTTACTTAAAGGAGTTCCTCCATCATCATGAGTAGGGATTCACTCCTGCTTCCTCAGTGTCCTTTCATCTGATTCTGTGTGAAGCCGTTCAGCTGTAGCAGTCATCACATTGCAGTGCACCATGTTCACGCAGCACAACAATGATTGCAAAAGATAAAAAAGTATAATAAGAGCTAAAACTGTAAAATTTCAGATCAGTTACATTATTGTCAGGTTTTTACAACATTGGTGGAGAGAAAAAGAAGGAAAACCAGAGGCTACAGAGAGACCCTGTGTGTGATAGACTGATTGTTTTGTGAGAACAAAACCTCACTTCATTA